AAATTATACCAACACATAACAGAAAAGGGAGTGTTAGCCTTAACTTCCCCAGGGGACCATCTTCACGAAGTCCTGTGATTGGCCAAGCCTGAGTCTAACAGAAGCCCTCAGGGCAGCAGGCTCCCAGTAACTCCCTAAGCAACTTACTCTGTCCAGAAGGCAATTGGCCAGGTTTGAGGTTAGATGAAACAAGAAATGTCCCACTAAAAGTGAATTTAAAGTGCCCCTTTTTTCACCCGCTGATCCCTCTGGGGGAGTTGGTACTGTTGCCACAGCTATGTCTCCACAGCAGCTGGATTCAATTGTTTTTTGTTGTTGTTTTAACAGCAATTCTGACATCACTTCCATAGAAACCATTTTGATGTGAAGATGGGTTTGTGAACTCCCATTCAGTTTGTTTCAGAAAAGAATCTAGAGGCTATGAAAATAATGATCCCAACATCAAGGGCGGATGGAAGAACAACCTGTTCTTCCATCCCGATGAGTCTCCACATGCCCAGTTTTGTTCAAAGGTCTTTGTTTTTTGACACAGCAAATCCCGCACCTTGTCCCTCAGACAGTCACAGCAACTGCTGCCCTCAATTTCCTGAACCCATCTCTCGGTAACTGGCTGAGCTATCTCATCACCCACCACCTGCCTGGACTGTCTGGAGGACATCCTAGGGTTTCCTATCTTGCATCTTCACTGTTCTAGTGAATGGGCCAAACCTGCATCTTTCTGACATTTTAGAGCATCATAGGTTTGCTTCTATTTCTAACCTGTTTCTCTCCCACCCACTCCCTGCTTACATTCACATATTTGTGTGTGTGTGTGTGTGTGTGTAGAGGTGAGAATAACACTTGCAGGTGTCAGTTCCCTCCTTCCTCTCTGTAGGTCTTGGGATTGAACTCCGGTGGTCAGATTTGTCAGCAAGCACTTTTACACTCCCATCTCACTTGGTCTTTTAGATCTAAGTGACTGTGCTGATCACCATTGCTCTCTGGTCACACCCTCTTATAGGTCTTGCTCATCTGACACTCCCACAGGGGTACACTGATCTTCAGGCTCTGCTCCAGAGTTCTTCCTAGCCTGTTTCCACCATTTCTCCATTCTGGAAACCTGTCATTCAATGTTCATCAATCCCAAAGCTTACTAAGTGCTCCAAATCTGTCAGTAAGGTGGTGGCAGAGCACCAGCAAGAAGCTTGCTGATAGCCTGCCTTGCCTTCCTGGTCTTCCCTACTCACCCCCCACCCCCCCCACCCCCCCCCT